TGTCCAGCTCTCCAGACAAAGCGTCTCAAGCATTTGGGATCACGCTTCTTCAATAGCTTGGGGGAGATAGCGGAGGTGAATATATCGAACATCCACGGCTTCATCCGGGATAGTAAATGGGTGGATAGACTTTATACTTACGCGCGCACTGCTAACCACTACAACCACAGCAGCCTCCTCTGCATTGGAAAGACCAGGTGGAGAAGGACTTGGCTTCACTTGGCGTTTCCAATTGGCGCCAGTTGACACAGAAGAGAAATGACTGGCGTGCTGTTTTGGACTCTGCCAAAATTGCTTAGGCGGTTACAGCGCCAATAAATAAAAAGAAGAAAGTTGGAAACACGATGTGGAGAAAACAAGTAGGTATTCAATCCCTGTGGAGGGTTGTGGAGCGGAACTCGGTTGAAAAGGAAGATTGTACCCGTCTTTTCTTATACAGTAGAACAGCAATTCTTGGGTCTCAGCCAAATTAAAAATGTCCATGTTCTATTATCCATACGTGGTAGTCAAAATCCAAGAGGTTTTCGATGCCCAGCCTAATCTTTTGTTTTTGCGCTGAGTGACAGTTTAGACTTTTTTTGCTATATTTGCTTAAAAATCCCTTGCAGAATATTATGTTTCAAGAGCCAGATACCTATGCATGTATATTTATCAATTACATCAAAAATTTAATTACCAACCCGTTTTTAGGTATTCACCCGGTAGCGAATGGAAACTTGTTAGCAGCATGATTACGCCACGAAGGGGGGCTGGTGCAGTGGCTTTGAATGGCAAAATTTTTGTTATGGGAGGCATCAGTGAAAGGGTTGATTTAAAATCTGTTGAATGTTACGACCCATCTTCGAATACTTGGACACAGTGCGAGGATATGAATGAAGCTCATAATTGGCCTGGGGTAGGTACAGAAAGGAAAAATCAAATTATACAAATTTATGTATGTATTTACGTCCAAGTACAGGGTGGGCCAAATAAGACCTACCATCCATAGTTCATAGGTTCATAGTATGCC